AATGCTGTATCCACTTGGCAAGATCGTGCTCGGTGCTTTGTCTGCGTCATAGTCCCCGGTGTACATGAAGAGAACGACTCGAGCCATGACCTCAGGATCGTCTTCCGGGAACTCGATCTTCCCAGAGGTGGCTTCCTTGGTACGCTTAGCGAAGCCATTTGATCAGATTAATTGGGCTTACCTTGAAACCTCCTTTGCACGCCGTATCTAACATCGACGAAGAGCCACATAATACCACTTTGTGAACCTTGAATTCGACATCTTTGCAGATAATAGTGAAGTCGGAGTACTTGCCAGTCTTGAGGAAGTCCAGATATGTGCTTGACGTGACTCCAGCCATCGTGGCAAGCAGTGTTAGAATTGGAGCTTTGAAGAGAGCAAGAGATGATGGAAGGATGGCGGAGGGTAAGCCAGAGACTAGAAAGTGACTGAGAACTGAAAGCAAGCGCAGTCTGAAGTTATGGGAGAGGGAGCTGCAATTTACTTTCGCTGGTCTTCACAATTACTGTCAGTGACGGTCGTTAGTATCTCCACCTTCGCAGTTGAACTGACTCCACTGTCACTTTGTAATCGAAGGATCAAAACACGATTGTCTCCAGTGTGCAGAATCGACCGCTGAAGGACTGTGCTACTTCGTGGTTAGGCTGGGGCCATTGGCCGAGCGAACAGGTCAGGGAGCGATATATTGAATCGTGCTTCTCAACTGTGTTTCCTTGACAACTCGGATATGGCGCAAGGGAACAGGGAACGAGAACTGTTAGAGCAGAATCGGCCCTCAGAAGCATGATCGTGCGTCGTCCCAGCTGTGTTGAGTCTTGAATCCACTTCTCATCCGGCTCGGAATAAGCGCCATCCACTGATTCCACTCGATGTTGCTGCAGACGCACTGTGCAATCCGACTCGAACTTCCTGTCCCGTCAGATGTCTTTCTCAAAGGGCCAGGTCACACCCCGGGTGGCACCGTGTTCATCACGCTTGCATGAAATCCCGTTGTTTCGTACAGCCAGCAACACCATCAGATTTCTTCGCCCGTACAATACTGAGTACACTCGCTTCGAATTGACCCGGTATTGGTATCAACAAAGAAGCTCACAATCCGGTTTCCACAATCCGGTTTCCACAATCCGAGCCATTCTGGGACAATCTATCATTGATTTTGGAGATGAGGTTGTCGAGTCGGGAATGATCTTGACCGTAACCTTCGGTGAAAAGAGGCTTATAGACTCCCCAGACGCTGTGCTCGTATTCCTCAAGCACCTTGACAGTGTCGCTTGCTGCAGGGAACGACTCGCCATGTTTGACACAGAGTGCAGTTGCCGGGACGCGCAGATATTCGTCATCGGGACGGGTAGATTCGTACATGACCTGTAGCGGTTCCTGTCATTTCGCACTGTCAGTGGGCAGATTTCGCAAGTTCACGATCAGCATGTAGCAGAACTGACAAATTCATCTTCCAGTAGTGTTTGGCGGTTGAATGATGATACCATGAGCAGAAATCAGGGTAGATCTCTTGGCTCAGGTGGTGCTGCTTGATTGGGGCACTAGAGTGCTCAAGCCAGAGATAGACTTACGGCAAATTTTTCGTCCAAGTATGCAACACGAGCATCTGACATGAATCGTTCCGCAGCCAGCATCTTCAGGTTTTCGATTCCAAGAAAATCAGCGCATTTGTAAACAAGAGCGTTGATCTTCAAGGCTTCGAATGTTTCAGCAGTGACGGGTTCCTTCTCCGGGGCAGTCATGGTCCGTACGGTGCTTCGCCCCTTCTTCCCTGGCAGTGGCTTAGGACGAGCAGGAGCTTTCGCAGCATTCGACGAGGAATTGTTCCCCTCCGCTTCCGTCATTGGGGAGCCCTCTTCGGCTTGACCTGGAATGAGGAAGGCAGGGACCTTCCTAGGATCGTAGTCGCTTGTGTACATGAATAGGACAACTCGGGTGACGATCTTGGGATCATCCTCGGAAAGGTCGATCTGTCCAGAGGCCGCTTCCTGAGGAATTGGTAAGCTTCGTAATTCTTTGCTCAGTAGTAAAACATACCCTAAAGTCACTATCACAGGCGGTTCTCAACATTGTTGACGCAGGACAGACCACTGCACGATGCACTTTGAATTCGATGGCCCCATGACAAAGCATGGTGAAATCTGAGTAGTCGCCGGACTTGAGTAGGTCAAGGTATGCGCTTGCAGTAACGCCGGCCACGGCTGGATGAATGATGACGCAGTAAGAGGAGGTTGATGGTAGAGGTTGCGACCGAAGAAAGGGAAAATCTTGCGCAGGAAAGAGTAGATTGGGCAGCAAAAACTGACTCAGGCAGTGACGGTCTGCAGCTGTCCTTCACTTACCGGACGGCCGCATGAAGGTGGAGCTCCCGCCTTCATCAACGACAGCAAGAGGTTGAACGTGTAGAGAGTAAGTGGGAACAGGCCTGGTACTGCCAGTGCTTGACATACCTAATTGGAATGTTGCCGGACAAGACCTACGCCAATAAGCAGATTCAACGGATGTTCATTTGGCACACCGACCAAAGTGCAGCAGGGTATCATTGAAAGCAAAAAAGAGCATGCCTGAAACGCCAGCCCGTTCATAGTGAGACCTGCCTTCACCTCGTGATCCCCCTTCCATGTCTGGAGCCCATCCCTACTCAACCTCGATAACGAGAGCCCTCTCAGCAGCCGAGTCGACAACTCCCTGAATCGTCCAATTTCCATCCTTGAATTTTGTCCACCACGTATCCTCGCCCGCCACGTTGCCAACGGCATCCTCCAACCCCTTGACACCGACCATACCTTCCTTCTCTCGCCACGATCTCTCGGCCTCCTCACCTGCTCTCTTAGCCATCATGTCTTCGTCTTCTGCCCTGTAAAGATCACACTTATCACACTCTGTACACCTCTGGCCTGAGATGGGTCGAAAATGTTCACAGAAATGTCTGTACCCTTCACCTCCTTCCGCATTGTCGCCGGCCTTGCCGATGTTCTTCCGACAAAGGTAGCACATCGAATAGCCGCAGACGCAGGTGAGCTTGTTGCATCCGCTCGACTTGACGAAGGAGGTGCCGCAACGGGGGCAAATGCGCTTGATTGCGGCGGTGCGAGCTGCTTCGACGGTGGTGCGGAGAGAAATAATTAATGGCTCGTGGCAAACGTGCGGATCGTGCCAGGCTTTCTGGCATTTTAGACAGGACTTTCGCGAGCAGGTAGGGTTCTTGCAGGAGAAGCGGGACGTGCGTGCCTTGAGAGCGAGATTGGCGAGCGAGGTGTAGAACAGGGTGGCGAAATAGCTCGGCGAAATGAGTAAGAAGGGTAGGAGAAAGAGTATTGCTGCAGGCAATAGCTCGAGAAGGAGGATAGCCATAAGCATCTGAGAGGCAGTGACTGGCGTCCGTATCCGCCATTGTATGGCTGCTGCAGTATCGCGATTGTAGACTTGCTCGGCTTCGGCGTAGGGACAGAACGGGCAACGGATCAGAGGAAGATCAGAACGCTGCAGATTGTGTTCAGCAAGTCGATCTTCAAACCTGTTCCAGGTCTCGGTGCCCGATTTCGGGTCTCGGAGCACGAGAGAGCGTCTGACGAGTTCTTGAGAGACATGACCATCACAATCGTCACCAGCTAGGCACTTCAAGGTTCCGTGCTCGATGTCGATGGATTTTGCCCAACCCTGACCGAATAGAGCTTCATTGAGTGTCCGTCGTACGCATTCCAAACATATGACATGCCCAGACTGTGTGCAGACAGAGGCATCCTCGAATGTCACATCGTTGTAGCATACCTGACACTCAAAAAGAGCATCTGCTTCCTCGGCTTCCTTCAGATTTAGCGCCTGAGCATATTCAAGGTCCGTAACCTTCTGCTCCCTCGCTCTTCGTGGAGACGACGTGGTTGCCTTGAACAGCTCCGACAGCTCGCGATCGAGCTCATGGCTTCCGGTCGTGATCAAGCGTGGTCCGCCAGGGTCCGCCTTCGTGCCCTCAAGCAAAGTTGCTGGAATCTCGCTAGGTGACCGTCTCTTCTTCAGGAGATTGGCAAATGTAACTTTCCACGACCTGCTTGCCAACCGCTGAAGCGTTGGTCTGGCAGAGGTGTAGGAGAAGTTCACCTCAGCAAGCACGGCGTCGATGGCGCTCTTTCCCAGTGCGCTGAATTCTCTGCCCGCCGTCCATTTCACAGCATCAGTATAGTCCTTCGTCCTAAACAGTTCATCTGCTGGAATCGGCTCGTTCAGCTCCCTAGATGGTACGTTCATGCGTCCTTTGGCCCATCCGCCCTTGTACTTGTATAATTGTTCTGTACATATTGGCAGTCTGCTGTCGCCATCGAATCGAACGAGTACTTCTCTAAGGACTTCAACTTTGACGTCAGGGAAGAAATCGGCGAGGACATGGAGGTCTTTGTTCAGGGCAATCGATGGGTCATCGTCTTCTTTTTTGGAGGCGAGCGACTCCTTCGAGCCCGCCCGGAATGGGTTCTTCCTAAGGACTTCGGTAAGTGCTGAACTCGGCGACGTTGGACGCGGGTCTGAGGTGGAAGTCTTGGGGCGGGGACGGCTTGAGGAGATTTTGGAGTTAGCGGAGCGTTTGGATGAGCCTGAGTAGAGCCACATCACAATGGAATCTGATAGTCGACATGAACATCATGGTCACGAAGAGGTTGACATGAGAATGAGCAGAGACATGTCAATCATCTTGCGTCACGGTCGGCCCATTCACTTCATCGCGAAAACGTGAGTAATGCTGAGGAGAGAGGCGCTGAGTGACTTTCGTTGTTGCCTCACTGGTCTGATCCTGTTCTGGCGTGTCTCGGGTAGCATACGAGGTACGGTCCGCTGACATGCCACTTTACACGCTTTTTACCTTTTTCCGCACACTGGACTCCCCCACATCAAAAATTGGTCTCGGTCTACACTTTTAGAGATGTGTACAGTGCAAAAAGGAAACCCTAAGGTAGTTTCAGGGGCTACTTCATGTTAGCCTGGATTCGGTTCTACAGAGCAATAATAGCTACCTCAATCGGGATTCGAACCCGAGGCCTGTCACAATTCATGGCTTTTTCAACCAGAAGCCGTAGCGCCCGAAGCGACAATCATACCACTAGACCATTGAGCCATTCGCGAATATCTGTGTTCCTTTCGAACGCAGAAACTTACACTTTTTTGCTATAATCAATATATATAATATGTTCTATTTGTGGCTCACGGCGGTGATGTGTCATGCTTTTTAGCTGGAATTGGGGCATGGCGCGGCATGTGCACGGGGGCTTCGGGGAAAGAGCGAACCACACTTCTTCCTCAAACGCACTGTCAACTTGTGAGTTAAACGAATACACTCAGGTCTACAGCCACCATCCCAGACAAATCATCGTGGTTTTATTCGCAATTGTGATACACGATTTTGGTCTGACCACAAATGTTCTTAGATTACGCTACCTGAACCATAACTATTTGCGCTGTACATAGACTACAACTTGGGCTTCGGCTGTCCCAAAAGCTCAGCACCGGCGCCAGCGATAGCAAGCTTGCCGGTCTCCTTGACCTTGGTCTGGAAGATCACCTTGTTGCCTTCCTTCCACATCTCCGTTACCAAGGTCTGTCCTGGAATGACAGTACCTGCAAAGCGGACCTTGATGTTCTTGAACAGGCCGTAAGTCTGGACAATATGCTTGCCGCTGAATCCAAAGAAGGCAAGACCGTGGAGGATGGGGTCCTTGAAGCCGCCAACTTTGCTGAACTCAGGGTCAATGTGCAGAGGGTTGCGGTCGCCGTTTAGTCTGTACAGAGCAGCCTGGTCTTCTGAGGTCTTCTCCTCAACGACTGTATCAGGAGATCGCTTGGGCACCTGGTAGACTGTCGTGGCATTGCCGCGGTTGCCTCCCTTCTTCGGCCCACCAAAGCCGCCAGACCCTCGTACAAAGACAGTAGATTCGTTGTAGAAGACATCTTCGCCCGTCTTTGCGTCCTTGGTAACTGTACCAGTCACGATGATACCAGCGTTACCCTTGTCGACAACCTCAACCAATTTAGGATACGAAACCAATTTGGCCGCAGTCGGAATGGGGAATTTTCGAATCTCGAGGTATTGCTCGCCATGCAGCAGCATCATAGGCGAGAAGTTGGGAAGAACCTCGTCCATCGAGAAAGGCGCAACGGCGCCAAAGTACGGTACAACACCGAATGTTGGCAGGACCTGGAAGTTGTCGTCGTTCTCGTATACCAGAGGCAGTTGTGTTCTCTTCGCGTTGAGGGACAGATTGTAGAGGATAACGTCCCTGTCGTCGTAGACAAACTCGGTGCCATCGGCTTCAGCCTTCTTCGCCTTTTCGATAGCTGCCAGGTAATCCGAGCCAGAACCTGAGTCATCAGATTTCTTGCTCTTGTTCTCCATATTGGCCATGATGGACTTGAGACCGTCTTGTCCACCTTCGGGGTGATCTGCCCGGCCATCGTCAAAGTTAACAATCTTCTCCCATTGCCCGAGGACGTGCTCTGGAGTCAATTTAACGTCGACTGGGAAGCCGTGGCCTCCAGATCTTTGCCACCTTGTTCTTCCTTGCCAACCACTACCGACCTCAAAGAGGAGACCGGTGGGTGGATCTGGCACTCTGTCAGAGCACAGTGCAAGTACGAGAGGAGCGACGTATTCAGGCTTGAACAGTTGCACCAACTCCTCGGGCAGGATAGTGCGGGTCATCCCAGTACCCGCATTTGGTGCAATGGTGTTGACGAAGATGTTGTTCTTGCGGCCCTCCAATGCGAGAGCTCGGGAGAAGCCGAGTATACCAAGTTTCTATTCACATTAGTCATTGCCCACTGTACGATATGAGACACTTACTGCAGCAGCATAGTTAGCTTGGCCAAAGTTGCCATAGATACCACTTGTGCTGGTGGTGTTCACAATACGACCATATTTCTGCTTGACCATGTAAGGATAGGCGGCTTTAGTGACCTTGTAGGTGCCGCGAAGATGGACAGCGAGAATGTCGTCCCACAACTTGTCGTCCATGTTGGTGAAAGCCTTGTCCCGGAGGATGCCGGCGTTGTTAATGAGAATGTCGATTCTGCCAAACGCATCGATGGCTGATTTGACAACGGCATCGCCATCCTCGACCGAAGCTTTATTGCCAACAGCCTTGCCACCTAATTTCTGGATTTCTTGCACGGTGGTGTCTGGGTTGACAAGATCGTTAACGACAATTGAAGCACCCCGTTTGGCGAAGGCCAGCGCATAGCCCCGACCGAGACTACAGATGTTAGTATGAGGAGAGGGGAGGGTCGAGATTGACGTACCCAGCACCAGCACCTGTGATCAACACAACCTTTCCATCATATCGGATGTCCTCACCTTGCTCATTGGGCGGCAGCTTCAGGGATTCTTCCGACTTCGTGACGAAATCGGCCACTCCGGTGGGATATTCCGGTACCGAGAAATCGTTGACCTTGTCCCATTTCTTGAGGATAGCACCGGGAGTATAGGTCTCATCTGCGCGCAGCAGGAGACCTTTGGCTCGCTCCCACCTCAGCTTGGCAATATGACCGCCTCCAACTTCGAAGATGGCGCCTGAAGTATGGGTATTCGAAGAATGCACCAGGACCGCAACAAGAGGCACGACCCAATCTGGCTTCAAGTTGTTAAGCACATCAGGAGGCATGACTGTCTCCGTCATGCGACTGGCAGCAATCGGAGCGATGACGTTGGCAATGATATTGTACTTGGCGCCTTCCTTCGCCAGAGTCTCGGTGAAACCGACCTGAGCAAGCTTGGCCGCAGAGTAGTTGCATTGACCGAAACTGCCAAACAGACCCGCGGCAGAAGTAGTATTGATAACTCGGCCGTATTTCTGCTTTCTGAAATATGGCCATGCTGCCCTAGCACACTTGTATGCGCCTTTGACGTGGACGGCTTGGATCAAGTCCCAATCAGAATCTTTCATGTTCTTGAAGCTGATGTCTCGCAGAATGCCAGCATTATTGAGCAGGATGTCGACTCGGCCGAAGGTGTCAACTGCGGTCTTGATGATCTTGTCTCCATTCTCGACGCTGTCGTAGTTGGCTACCGCTTTGCCGCCGGCAGCTTTAATCTCGTCTACCACGATGTCCGCAGCCTGATAAGGTGTTAGAAGTGATCAACTTGGAACAAGCATGTGACAGTGCGTAACCCACCTTTGTGCCCGCGCCCTCGCCCTTGAAAGAGCCTCCAAGGTCATTGACGACGACATTTGCACCTCTTGATGCGAAGAAGAGGGCATATGCCTTTCCCAAACCACCGCCAGCACCAGTAACCACCACGGTCTGGTTGTCGAAACGTAAATCTTGCACCATCTTCACCTATTCACTCCCCGTTCATGCGGATGTGGAACAAGTCTCCGAATCGCGGTCGAAGGCAAAGACGGGTGTATATGCAATCGAGGTAGGGAGCTCGAGAAGAGTACGGCCGCAACAATAGGAACGAGGATGCCGAGGACCGATGCCGGGAATATTATGAAAGGCAAGACAGTGGTATCCAAATTGAGCTTGTGAGAATGTCATGCGTGCTGAGAAGGATCGGGAGATGGACTCGATGGATTGGCGGCCAGCCTCAGTGTCGTCAGTAGGAAAAAGAGCCGAGGCACAAGTCACGTGATCGAGGGCCGGCAGATTGCGGCCCCACGAAAACTGCTCCAGCCATCCCCCACTGCGGCGAGCTACCCATTTCGACATAGCCACCCTCCATACTACACATCGGCATGTGAAGATCCAAAAAGCGGATGCTGGTCAGATCGTCCGAGTAACATACAGGTAAGATACAGCTCAAAGCAGTCTCAACGACATCTCAACTCCAAAGCTTGGTAAAGACGTCGAACCTTTGCTGCCGACCTCTCATCCCTCTCTTCGTCGCGTCGATATCGTCTCGGATTGATCGGGGTGGTCTCCTCAGTGCGATGTTCTCTGCGCACCGGAGGCTGCCTTCTCCGCTCTGATGCGGGCAATGTTATATCCACTCATCTTCTACAGTCTCGAATTCAGGATTCATTACTTCTGCGATTTTCTTTTCATTCAAGTGTAAACTGTTGATGGGAGGTACCCCTCGTCACTTGATTCGTAAGTTCAATCAAAATGCCTGAAATAATCGACGACAAAGCAGAGCACGTTGTGCCTTTTATCCTCTCTCTTCTCGCCGAACACCGGAAGAACCATTCATCATCCTCACACCCACCACCCTTCTTCATCGGCTTGAACGGCGTGCAAGGCGCCGGAAAGACCGTCCTCGTCGATATTTTGAAGAGAACACTAACATCTCCTCCACATAATCTCCCGACAGTGGTCTTCTCCCTGGATGACCTATACCTGACCCACGACGACCAAGTCTCCCTCGCTCAAGCAAATCCAGAAAATCCGCTCTTGCAGCACCGAGGCGAGCCCTCGACGCACGATATCCCGCTCGCCAAGTCTGTTTTCCAAACTCTGAAGCAGAATCAGCCTACGAGGATTCCGCAGTACAACAAAGCTGCCTTCTCAGGCCAAGGGGATCGTGTTCCTGAAAGCGAGTGGGAAGAGGTCAATTCTGATCCTTCGAAGCCAGTAGGCGTGGTTCTGTTCGAAGGATGGTGCGTTGGATTTCGACCTCTCTCCAGCGAAGTATTGCAGCAAAAGCACACCACTGCCGTGGAAGCGTTGAAGCACTCCACCCCTGAAAAGCCCTATGAAGGTCGTCTCGGCCACAACACTTTGAAATCAGTGACTACCATCAACGACGCACTACGGAGATATGACGAAATCACCTCTCAACTCGATGCATTCATCCATATCGACGCTCTAGAGCCTCAATACGTCTACAACTGGCGTCTTGAGCAAGAAGCCGGACTTCGCGCCTCAAGGGGCAGTGGCATGACGGATGAGCAGGTCAGGCATTTTGTCGACGGCTATTATCCCGCGTACGAGCTATACACGGAGACTCTGCGGGACGGCGTTTTCAGAGGTGTGAAGGACGATTGGAAAGGTAAACAGTTACGCTTGGTGGTAGGGCAGGACAGGAAAGTCAGGGAGGTGATCGAGATTTGAAATATTGGAACCTGGGAATGGCTGTCACTAGAAGAAACATGTCAAGAACCTGCGTTTGGTACAAAGCGGACT